AGAAGATTTTTTTTTAAATAATTTAAAAATATTTTTAAATATGTGTAAATATATTATATTACTTTTTAAAATTTTCTTTGATATATCTATAGGATGTTAGACATTAATATCGAAAAAACTTTAAGAACATACTCGATGATTTCTAAACTATTTTTATTATAAAAATAATTTTTAAATTCCGTCGTGTCACCGAAATCGTAATTCACAGTGACAAATCGTACCCATGAGTATTCGATTAACAATAGAAGATATCGTAGAAGAATAGAAGATATCGATGATTGTGCGATTTTAAAAACGTGTGCTTTATCCCATCATATGGTGAGATTTTTATAATGTGAATAAAATGGAGAAATCGTTTAAAAAAATTTTAAAAATGCATTTATATTTACTTATTATTTTTTTAAATTTTCATCGATATTTTAAGTGTTCAAGATCAAAACAAAAAAATTTTGGCAACATATGCACGAGGTTATTGTAAACGAAAAATTTTGTTCTCGAAATTAAAGAAAATATAATTGCAAATAAAAAAATTCATTTGAATTACTTAATTTTCAATAATAATTATTTATTAACTAATTTTTTACACTGATTTACATTTATTTATATTTATTTATACAAATTATTCATAACAATTACCTCAACAAGTATCTCTATATACACAAATAATCGTATATAATTCTGACCGATTTAACATATTTGCTACACACTTTTCAATCTCATGAGATGAAATCTGTATAGATATGCAAAGAACTTTATTATTTTTTTTGTTATTATTATTATATGAAATAACCAAATTTTTCGTAAAAAAATCATTTGAAAATTTATTTATTTATTTCGAGTAATTATTCTTTTCACTTATTTCAAAGGAAAAAAAAAAGTGTGCAATCTTGCTTAGAATAAAAACGAAGAGGTTAAGGGCGGTTATTGAGCTTGATATCCGTGGACACAACGACACAGGAGCACGGAATCCCATGCGTGCAGACTCGTTTCATTGAGAGGCGGTCCGCGTGTGTGCCGCTTAATGGCAATTCATCCGACACGCCGATGGGCGTGCGATTCGCCTTGTGGCGATCGCGTGCACGTGGCCGTGACACCTTGAAGCCGCGGAACGAGGCCGCTTTTCACCCGCGAGAGGCCACGGAGCGTTCGGCAAAGGAAAAGGGAAGTCGAAGCGCTTGAAGAAGAAGAAGAAGGCGGGACCGGTCCCTCGAGCTGTCGTGCACCGCTCAATAGGAGCTAATTGCCGCAAGGAGAGCTGCAAATTCGCGGTATTGTAAGCTTCGTCTCGTTTTCGTGGCCGCTGTCGAAGCCACGAAGGATGTTCGTGTTGTCGGCAGACTTTTTAAACACTTAAACCGTCTTTTCAATGGGATCAAGGAATTTCGATGTGGCGCGCGTATGTTGCTAATTTCGATGGTAAATTGTGAAATATTGTGTGTAAGTATGTAGAGTATGTAGATAAAGAGTGTGGGGAGGATTTAATGATTGTAAAAGGGGACTTTAAGAAGATACATTTTTCTGAATTAATTTCTGGGAATATTTTCTGAACTGGAAACGCTATTTTTAAGAGAATCGAAATTATATTTTTATAAATGTAAAAGCAAAATAATAAATGATATTTGAAGGAACCAATTCTTCATAAAGATTTTTAAATTAAGAATATTAAGGAATTAAATATTGAAAAAATCGAAGTTGAAATTTTGTGATATCTTTCGAAAATTAAAAAGTTCGTTTTGTAATTATTTTCTTATGAAATAAAATGTTGAAATTTTCATTTTTAGAATTTTTCAAATTTAAATTTAAATATATATTTTTCAAATTTTAATTTATATAATATGATATTGAAATGAATCAAAAATTGATTTGATTATTATGAACTAATAAAAATAACTTTATATCGTCATAACATTATCTCCTCTCGTTCTTCTTTGTCTTAATTGTTTATTTATTAAATCGTTTTGGAATCACGAAAACAGCAAGAAATTTCAAAGTATAACTCGTCATATTTTAACTAATAGATATCTATATATTTCCTATCCTAAAACAATATTTATATAAATTATTATATTTAAATTCATAATGATAGAAATTTAGCTGAAAATGCATAAGTTTATTTTGTTTGTTGTTCGTTAATTGTATAATATTGAATAATTATTTCAAAATATGGATTTTCAATAATTAAGTATTATAGTAGATTATATATAACAAATCTATACAATTTTATGAATTATAGAAAAATAATTTTATTCTCTTTTTAATAAATTATTAATTTTTAATTATTTTTAATTATTAATTATTATTAATAAATATAATTATTTAATAATTCAAATTATTCGCTATATTATACATATATTTTATGAAGTTTTAAAAAATCTATGTATTTATAGCGTTATAATGAAAGAAAAATAAATTATTTGTTTGTATACATTGAACTCCGTGAAATATATAAATGTATATATAAAAATAGAATTAATATTTGTAATTAGTGTTAAATTTTTCAGAATTATTCCTTTATTTTAGAAATTTCGTATCAAGTTGTGCAATTTTTACAAATTACATAATTTTTATACAAATTCTAATAATAAATTTTAATAATTAAATTGGCAAAATTCTTTTATAAATCATTGATATTAAAATCCATAATTTATCTGCAAAATAGAACACATTGTGATTGATATATTCGCAAATAATTTTTTTTTTTATTAAATCGACTAAATTAGAAAATAATAAATAAATTTCGATAATGTTTAAATATCGTTACAACAAATCGATCTAAACATCCAGATATTTACTCATAAACAGTAGCATACATATTCCAATTCCACCGAAATCAGTTTTTCGACAACAAGTTTTCACTCTCTTACTCCAATAATTACATTTACGCAATTTCTATGCGTTCTTTTAATAAATGAAGTAACTCAAGTATAATTTCACAAGAATCTCTAGAGACCAGAGATCCCAAAAAAAAAAAAAATCCAAAAGTTGTCAGGACTCGGCCGTAACACTTTAAGCAGGATTTACACGAATCCCCATAGCTTCCAAAGTCAAGGATATCTTTGCTTAACTTTCTCGCGCGCTCTATTGACTGCTGTTACTCGCGTATCGCCCAGGTAGGCAAACGTAGAAACAGAGAAAAAGATCTGGTTTCCTCAAAAGCAGAAAACAAGAGTAAGAGAGAGGAAGATCGGTGTGACCGAATAATCCTGGACACCGGTCGTATTTATACTCCTGTTTGCCTCCTGATTCGCCACGGTGCGCGACCCTTGAAAGTCCAGCTTGGTGTCCAGTCAAAACACGCATTCGTTTTCTCGCCACCTATTTTCAGGGGTTGCTCGTTTACCTGCTCGCCTTTTTTCGCGCGCACCCGCGTGAAATCGCGTGAAATCCTCGTCCGGCTCGGGAAAATCGCGTTAAGCGAAACTTCGGGGAAAAAGTTGGCTCGAACGATGGTTGGAGATATTTGGGATGAAAAGGGAGTTTCACGGATGGGAAACGAAAATCGAGGAAGGATTGGTCTCGCGCTCGAGGGTGTCTCTGGTCGCGCCAGATCGGCTTTAATAGGTTTCGAGAATCATTGGTTCGAGATGGTTTTGACAGAGGAAATTCGGTCGCGGCTGTCGAGATAATAGGGATATAGTTAAGGGATCTTGTTTGATTTTCGTTCTGGAAAGTCGATCTGGTCGCGCTTGTGTATTTTTCGATACTTTTGAACGCATTTTTTTATGTATGCATATTTTTTATGTTTTATTTTATATTTTAATATATGTTTAACATATTTTTTTTAATAAATAAGAAAAATAAGTTCATTGAAATATAATTAACAATTATATTTTAGACAAAATATCAATATTATGATAATTTAATTTCTTAGATATTGTGAATTATCTTTTTAAATGCATTATACAATTGTGTGAATTTTTTATCATTTATCTGTTATTATTTATATCACATCATTATCCATAACATTTTGATCTAATTAATTGAAATATGTAATATATATTCTATAATATAAATATACTTATATATTCATCATTTCTGTTATAATGATTTCAACTATAATCTCTTAATCTTCTTCTATCAAAGAAAATCAAAATTTATCATCATCGTTAAATATACACATAATATATAGTTAAAATAATTTCAATTTTCAATAAATTTTGTATGAATATTCATTATTTATACGGTATTTATTATTAAAATAGGATTTATTGAAAAATCAATCGTAGAAAATCAATATAAATTTTAAATAATAAAAACACACTTTATAATGAAATTGTTCTTCTCTTATTGTATCTGTACATCTAAATGTTTCAATTTTTTAGCAAAATATTATTTTATTATTATTTAACATTAAAATAAAATATAAAATATTAATAATTATTTAAGATGTAAAAAAATTTATTTATATTTTTTTTATAATTATTGTCTTCATAGTTGAGCGAAATATAAATATTCGCTTATAAGAAATAATTTGATAAGATCGTTAATTTTGAATTATGTATAATAATGAAACCAATAAAAATTTTTGTAAATAATTTATTGCTAATTTGTTATAGAATATTTCAAAACAATAATCTTTTAAATATTTTCATTAAAGTTCTGTTAATTGTTTAATTAATAAATTTGTAAATTTCTTATCAATTGCTATGAATGAAAATTTTTATATAAGCTTTTGTCCAACAAAATTGTACTACTAATTTATTTTATAATTTATGAAAAGAATAACGAATTTTATTAATAACAATTTCACATCAGTATTTATAAATTATATTTTCGCATATTTTTTTATCTCTTGCAATTCTTCCTTTTCTCTAAATAAATTCTCTTCATACAAATTGAAAACACTCCATCTTAGAACATCTTGAACACAACATAACCTTTAATAAATTATTCTATGATACGATTAAAATGACTAAATCTTACTAATTATTCCACGATACTATTAAAATTGTCAAGTCTTGTAAATTATCTTCAATAACTCGAAGAGTATTTTGTTACAGAGGTGCAAGGAGAAGCTGAACACTCTCGCTATTTCGGTAATGAATCAGTGGCCGGGAGTGAAGTTAAGGGTGACAGAAGGATGGGACGAGGAGGGAAAACATGCGACGGATTCGCTACATTACGAAGGACGTGCCGTCGATGTGACGACGAGCGATCGGGATCGCTCGAAATACGGGATGCTAGCAAGACTCGCCGTCGAAGCTGGTTTCGATTGGGTCTATTACGAGTCCAGGTCGCATATTCACTGTTCTGTTAAATCGGGTCAGTATTATATTAGTTATTTTTTATTTTATTCAATAATTGAATTATTTTTCATACAGAATAACATGATGCATTTTTGATTGAAAAATAATCTAGTTTTCAATTTATTAATATTGACAATATATAGAATATCTCAAAAAAAAATTACTATATATATTAATAAAATCAAAGTAAATAAAAAAAAATTGATAGATTTATGTTAAAAAATGATATAGCAAAGAGTTACAATCGTTCAAAAATTTTTATTTTATATGTTATATATATATTTGATCAAAAATTAAAATTTATTCTGATGGAACTATTAAAGCAATAATATTACAGAAATCAATGAATAATTTGTTGCTTAGGATTTCGTCGTTCCAAAATATTTGATTTTTTATAATAAAATAGATATAATAGAATATTATAAAATAGTACATATAATAACATATAGTATATAATTTTACAATACATTTTATAATAGAAATAAGTTTTTAATATTGCAATGTAATAAATCTTTATATTATTAGTTTCTAATTAACTATAACTTTTTATCACTTATATAACAAAAATAAATAAATTATATTAATTGAAATAACATTTTCAAATATTTTGAAAAAAAGTTCGATGATTTATGCAAAAACAAAAAATTTAAATTTTATCTTAATAATATAATAATTTAATTGCTTTATTTTTTCTTAATTTTTAAAATATTGATTATTCAGTAAGTAAAAAAATCCTAATTATTTATTTAGATTTTAATAAAATAATTTAATTTTATTAATATAATATTCTTTTTATTAAAAGATATTATTTCTTTATATATATAATATTTTATATTTCAAATATTTACACATATTCAAAATGACGATTCCAAGAACAATAAGCTATTATTAGAGAAACATGACAACAATAGCATCAACTTATAGATAATGATAACATGATTTTATTTATTTATATTGAAGGCATCTAAATGTAATTATCGATTTTGAAAAATCGTATTATCGCTATTAATTGACATTTCAATCGACAATATCGAAAACATGCATTTCGATATTCCGCCTCGTCACGATTATTCATCTGTTACAATGAAATAATGTTAGCTAATAAACGAATTATGTAAAGACATTATATATAGTCAGTTTGATCACCTAATTTTTCTTTAAATTTCTTTAAATCGCGCGCACTATTTACTATATCCGGATATTGCTATTTTATCATTAGGAAACGATATCGATTACGATATAATTAGATTTTTGAAAATCTATTTATATCAATTTATTTTCTTTTCATTACATATTATAGAAACATATAATATATAATATGTTTTATATATATAACATAAGTAAACATATATATATTTTCTAAGCCATATAATAGTTATATAAAATATTCATTGAAATAAATAAATGAAATGATTAGTAAAATATGGCAAACTAAATAGTTAGTAGAAAATCAAAACTATAATACAATTAGTATAGAATTTAATTATTGAATTTAATTTTTTATGCTCAAATTTTTTTTAAATACAATTTTATTTAAATTATAATAGAAATTTTTAATATTAAAATAGAAATTACTTATAAAAAATTATTTATATTATATATTTTGTTTTGTTTTTTTTTTTTTTCGTTTTCTTATTAAATAGAGAAAAACAATTTTACCATATAATAAATTTTATTTAATTTCTTTATATTAATTTTAATAATATATAATGAATTAATTTAATAAAGTATAATTATATATAAATATCATGATAAAATTCAATGAATTAATATGTATAATTGTGATAATTCAAATTCAAAATTCGAATAAAATTATTAAATAAAAAATGAAAAGAAGAAAGAATTATTTTTTTCAGACAAGAATATTTATACATATATGCTTTTACTTACTGTAATACTTTTTATTATATTTTATTCTTATTCTTCTTGAATTTATTATTATTATGATAGAGTACCACTGCTATTCAATAATTCACTTATTGCGCCACTAGCTCTTCCACAAGAAGAAGTTATCTATTTTACCGACTTCGATACATCTTCGGGGTATTGTAGAAAATGATCAAAAGAAGTTATTCTACGAGCATACTTACTGTGAAATATATCTAATCACGGATATATCAAAACCTATAAAAGATAATAAGAAACAATTATTCTATATCATTTTTTGAATAATTAAAAAATGAAATTAAGTATTTTGAATTGAATTTTTGAAAATTGATCAATATTAATATATCTTTAATTATGGATCGTAAAATGTAAACATGTATTATGTTTTTATTAAAAAGAAAAAAAATTTTTTTTTTATACATATATTAAATATTATTAAATATATGAAAATTTAATAATTCTAGAAATATATTAATTATAGATTATAATGTATCTATATATAAATATTTCTATATTAAATTAGTTCAATTTTTATTATTTATTATATAATAGAAATATGTTATATAATAATTTAATAAAATTAATGAAAATAATAATTTCTCAATTTTTGATTAGTAAAAATAAATGAAAATAGGAAAACAATAAAAAAGACATAAATAAATAGAGATTTAAAAAAAAGTATAAATTCTATAAAAAACAAAAATATAAAATTCAATAAACAAATTGTAAAATATCTTAGTGTTACTATTAAATACTATTTCAATATAAATGTTTCAAATATAATAGAATATATAATCACAAAGATGTATACAATACATTTGTTTGTAATAATATCGTAATTCAAATTCATAACATACAATTTTTAAAAACTTACTAGATTAGATTATATAATACTATATAAATAAAATAAATAGAAATTTTTTTTTAATATAGAATTCATTCTTATTTTTTAATAATTTCTAAGAATTTATTATATAATGAAAAATTAGTTTTTTTATATTATTTATATCAAATATATTATTTATAATCAAAAAGAAGGAAAAATAAAATCGATATTTTTATTGGCTTCTGAAATAGTAATATTTTATTTCAATTAGTTTCTGGATATTCAGAATTAAAACATTCACATATATTAACATTAAAAATAAGTTTTAGTTAGACAAAAACTATTATACAATATATATTATTAAAAATAAAAATTATATTGTATCATTTTTATTTACCTCCAGTTGATAAATTAGCTAATATTAATAAATAAAATTACATATATTTGGCCATAGCTTAGATATTTGTCATAGATTTTCAATTAATAAAAATTTATGTGAATCAATATTGAATCGTTACTGTTTTTTTTTAAAAATTCTTTCTTAAAAATTCCTCGAAAAATCTAAATCTAGAAAAATTACGAATCTCATTCATTTATTATTATTCTATATACGATCAAGCCAACAATATACTCAAAATGAAATTTTTTATAACTATAAATTTTATTACAAAAAAAAAAGAAACATCTAGATTGAAGCTTTTCAAGAATTATTTTAAAACAAAAAATCAAAATATGCAAAAATTTTAAATTCAAAATTTATATTATACTTAATGTTTTTCATTTTGATAAATTTTACATAAATTAGACAGAAAAAATATTTAGTTTAAACTTTTCTTATCTTTTTAGTACCATTAACGTTATTTCAAAAAATATAAATATTTATATAAATTTTGCAATATTTATTTATTTTTTTGCGAATTCTTGAGAAATATAATCTAATCTCTTAAAAATATCGAGAAATCAGTAACATTACTTACGATTCATGCGACAGGTTGAGAGACACTGACCTATCAGCAAAACGACTCATCTATGCTATCCGATCTTGAATCGATCCTCTTATCGGATTTCCAAATTTCATCACGCGACAACACGAAGAATGTTCACAAAAATGTCCCGTGAACGAATTTCTCAAGACAATCGACAAAAAGAGAAAAAGCTAAAAAGAAAGAAGAAATACCGAACCTTCGAGCAATCGGAGGTGCAGGCTCGTTCCTTCGGTCGGTTAAGGCTCGAGTTTCAAAATAAATGTCAATAAATCTAGGCGCGCCTGTCGGCTCAAATTAGATGCCGGCGTAACAATCGCCGCGAAATCGATACGAGCCGAAAGAACGATATTCGAGAGACCACATAGTCCTCGAAGAGAATGGTCGGTTAAGAGAAAAGGGTATCCATGGACGCGAGCCACGCGTATCATAATTTCCACGCCTTCATCTATCTTTTCGTCTACGATCTTTTTTTTTTTCTCGAAGATCAATCGATTCTTTAGGTGCTGCGCTTGATTTTTCGATAAATTTTTCGATAAATTTATTTATTTATTTTTTATTATGTTTTCGATTCGACTTAGATGAATTACAATTAGTAAATCCATTCTTTTTGCTAGATCGATCGATTCCTTAGACTTAGATAATTCTGTTCCTGATTTTTCGATAAATTCATTTTTCTCTTGTTATGTCTTCTTACAATAACGTTTTTTTTAAAACTTTAAATAATCCTGCAATTTATTTTTTGTATAGATAGATAAAAATATATTGTTTTTTCTAAATCGATTTTTGCACTATAGAAAATTCTAACGTTTGATTTTTCGATAGATTCTCTTTTAAATGTTTAAATTTTCTGAAAAATTTTTGAGATATTTATTATATAGACTGAATTTGATTTGATTCATTGTTATTAGTCAAATCATTATGAACATTTTAAAAATAGAAATGAAAACATATATACATCTCTTTTAACGATTTTAAATTAATAATTTAATTTATAATATTTAATTATAATTTAAAAAGATATTGTTAATATTGGTCCAAGATTTTCATATTTCGTTCTACAAATCTGATATTAATTGCAAAAGTACTCTTACTATTTAGGATAATTTAATAAGATATATTTGACAATTGCAAATGTCATAGATTGATTGATAAATTAGATTTTGAAATTAATTATGTATAAGTCTGGTATGAGTCTAACAAAAATTTTTATCGACTGTGAATTAAACGGATATATACAAATCAATCTTCAAACTTAAATTCTTTGATAATATCGATGATTTTCTATTTTTCTTACTATCATATAAAAATGTGAAATAA